CTGACATTTGATTGCTCTCTTGTTGTTTATTATTCACGTAAGCATCTTGGAAAGGATTGATGTTAGCATTAGCACCAGCAGACGTAAAGGTATTTGCCATTGGTGTAAATGGTATGGCTGCTGGATTCAAATTCGAGTTGAGCGTGTCTTCCTTGGCCATGTTGAGCGTCAATTCAAGCGTTGGACCACTACTGTTATTACTCAGAGTATCGAATTCTGACAGGTCTAACAGGCTGTTGGTCACGTTGTTTTGTTTGCTATAAAATCAGCCAAAGGAAACATACAAACTCTAAATAACAGCTAATTGCTAAGCACTACGATTTTAAAAGTATTATATTGTTACATCAGTTGAGTTTACAGTGACTACGATAATCATAATGAATAATGTTAAGCCAACTGCAGCTATTTCTGTAAATATTTGTCCATTAATACTCTACCAATAATAATAATAATAATAATAATAATTCTTCTTTCTCTTCAAAGTTGAAGCACGTAAAGTGTATAGTAAAAAAGAAAACAATGCTATATGCCATTAAAAGAAAATAGAAAAAAAAAAGAGAAAAGAAAAGAAAAACAAACAGAATATAACAGTTTTCTATAAAATAAAATACATATATCGTCTGAGCTATTTTGTAGTACCTTTACATATACCAATATAAAGCTGACAGATTCGATATATTTACAAAAATATTATAAATCATATATATATATATATATATATATATATATATATATATATATATATATATATATATATATGTTTCAACTAAGCATTGATTTAATAAGACATGAATAAAATTATTTTAAAGCAAGCTTCCTAAGTTTTGTTATTAATATTTTCAAAGTGTGTACCTGTTATTTGAATAAATCTATCTATACTAAATTCTATGCGCAAAAATTCATTATAATCGATAACACAACTATCTTTGATTTTTTTTATATAGCTTTTTGTAAGATCTTTGTAAAGTATATAATAAAAAATATCTCAACCGAAGAATATCATCATACGGATATGTAATAGGGAAGAATAGTACATAGCAAAAGTAGGCAGCCAATTGACAGGCAATGCCTGATATAATATTTAACGCAAACATATAGGGTATGTATGTAAAATGGCAAAAATTAAAATGACAAGCCAGATCTCGTAATCGATAACAAAAAAAAAAAATATAACATGCACATTGTTAACATTTACTGCGATATAACAATATAATAAGGAGGAAGTGTTGTACACAGCAGGCTTTAATGGTAATTAAAGGAAAGAAAACGGAGCTTGGTAAAGATAACTTTTGATATATTATGTATATATATATATATATATATATATATATATATATATATATATATGTATATATTATATATTATATATATATATATATATATATATATATATATATATATGTTGTATTTCTTGAAGGATTAGAAATTCTGTAAAACAATGTTTCAAGATAAAACTCCGTGTATTCTAAATACAATGACAATAATGAACAATATATTTAAACGATGTGAAAGTATTAAGAGCTTTATTAGGAACTATTAATTTATCTGTAAAAAAAATAAGCGCGAGGCGCGTATATTGTTTTTCTTTTCCTCTCTCTTTTTCTTTTTCTTTTTTCTTTTTTTTTTTTTTTCAATTAAAATCAATATAAAGATAAAATAAAGCCTATTATCTTAACCGAGCTCCTTTTATCAAATTACAAACAATATTTGAATGATTAATTAAGTTTATGCTATTCATCTTTCTTTACATTATGTACACTGATGTTATTGTTATTAATTTTAGTTAACACTAGATTTTTTTAGTTTTATTAGCCATTCCACAATTTTATGCTTCTTCGATATTACATTATGTTATATGTTCTTAACAGAGTGCTAAGTGGGATTAGTGTATACATTTGATAAACTTTCAAATACTTCTCATATGACTATCTGAAAATAGTAAACTTTTCAGTTGATGCATGGTTAAATATAAATTATAAAATATATATGCAACTATTAATATAATAGATAAATACAATATACAATCGTACCTTTTTATATCATGCCATCATTTGTTATGGTAGTATTTTGCAATAAATTATTATTTTATTAATATGATAATCTAAATCATAATAATTTTTTTTTCATAATGTAAATTAAAAATTACACTCGATGTATTATTTAACATCGTACTAATATTAAGCTTGTCAATTCTTGTTCTCTCTGGCCACTTTTGCAATGTACAGTAAATACGAATTATTAGATAGGAATATTATGCGTGAAACAATTATTCCGATATTAAAAAGAAGATTGTTAACAAGCGGAGTTAACGGATTTCTCCAAGTAAATCTTTAAAAAATACATTAGAATATATCGTTACAGAAACTTTGCACCTATTTATATACACATATATATATATATATACATACATACATCTATATATATATATATATATATATATATATATATATATATATATATATAAATATATAAGTATGCATATATATATATATATATATATGTGTGTGTGTGTGTATGTATATGTAACATATAACAAGTAAATCGTTCGAATTATTTATCAAAATTATTCTTGTCTTAATAAAGCGACGTGATTATATAAGTTACGCTCGAGGCATTTTTTATTTTCATTAAATATCAAGAACGACAAGTTTATCATCGATTTTCTCTAAACGAGTATAAAAAAATTAATGATCGTTTACTACTATACAAATTAAAATAATGTGCACAAGCATATCTATATGAGTTTATTCTCTCTCTCTCTCTCTCTCTCTCTCTCTCTCTCTCTCTCTCTCTCTCTCTCTCTCTCTCTCTCTCTCTCTCTCCTCTCTCTTCTCTTCACTCTCCACTCTCCCTTTGTGTTTTTAATTTTTATTTTTTTTCTTTAGATTAATTTTAATATATATTATATAAATATATATATATATATATATATATATATATATATATATTTTATTAAGCAAGACTTGCTCAAAAATCACTCTCATCGTATAGGCTTCATTTATGTTAAACTAGAGTTTTTGTAATTTTATGCTGATATTGATATTATGTCGAAACATGATACAACTATAAATAACATTGTTTTCACTTATTTTTCAATATAGAATCACATAAAACACTCAATAACTTACAAGAAATTACATGATTTTTATATAATTTAAATAAATAATTTTCATTTATACGAACAAATAATACGTCGGACAAAAAAAGACTTTTCTATTTAATTTAGCTAAAATGGTTTAAAGAAAAAAGAAAAGAAAAGAAGGGAAAAAAGAAAAAAAGAAATTTACGCAATAAAAATGGAAGAGGGAGGTAGAGGGAGGGAAAAAAATGAAGAAGAAAAAAAAAAGAAAAAAAAAAAAACATTGATAATTTCCTTCCATTGTCAAAACTTTCACAGCATTTGCATACGCTCTATCGAAGAAAAAAATAAAATAAAGAATCCCTAATCTAATCTCATGGAATTCTTATTTCTTTTTTTTTTTTGTTTTTCTTTCTTGTAAAAATGCATTTACGTAAAAGTTTCAAACGACTCGTGTCATTATTATAATATATTATAATCTCGCAAAGTTCCATGTGACTATAATGTTATTTTATTATGACGGTTGGAAATTTAAAATAAATAATAACAAGATTACACGATTATTAGATAATTTACAATAAGTAGTGATTAATTTTTAGCGGTAATACCTATTTCTGTAATTTTTGTTTGCAATATGTGTCTGCTGCTTGAGGTTCTATACAAATGATACCTTATATGCATTAAATACACATAATACGAGTCAGATTTCCAAGCTTAGCCCAATTATGCATGATATAATATATGTATGTATGTATTTATGTATGTATGTATGTATGTATGTATGCATGTATTTATGTACGTATGTATGTATGTATGTATGTATGTATGTATGTATGTATGTATGTATGTACGTATATTATGTATGGTATAGGTAACTTGCTTTCATTTTAGAGCACGCATTAATACGTGCATTTATATCATTTCATATTATATTAAATATTCAGTCGACATGTTTTAATGTTACATAAGTATTGGCTAATATTGTGCAGTCGTATCTTTCTTCAGTAAAAAAATCAGTAGGGTGAAATATGAAAAGCGATCACTATGTGAATAGTTGTATTATGCGGCGCTGCAATACGAACGATTGTGTTTTAAATGTGTTTAAATGTTCTTTTTTATTTTATTTCTCTTCTTCGTCCTCTACCTTTTTTTTTCTTTTTTCTTTTTTTTCCACCTTAGTTAAACGAATGTATTGCGCGACGAACAAAACTCTCTAACATTATTCAATATCCTTCATTTAAAGAAAGCAAATGAAGTTGGCTTGTGAAATCCTCCAAGTTCTTATCGGTATTGTTTTATATTTTCATTTTATTCATTCTTGTTAGCGAATCTATATATTCATTTCTTTGTTTATTTTTATTTATTTATTTTTTTATTTTTTTTATTTTTTTATTTTTTTTTAAAGCATGTAAACGCAACGCAACGCAACGCAACGCAACACGTTCCAAGTAAAATTCCTTTTTATACTATTCTGCCGTAAAAGCCTTACATTGGTATCAACGTAATAATTTATTGTCTCTTGAACTACGAAAAGAAATCATATGAGATTACAATCCTTTTTTTAAAGATGTACCCTTTCGATAATAACTCATATTTTATTTTATTTTTTTTCTTTACCATTCGTAAATTCTGATCATCGTCGCTGGTGAAAACTCTCTTTCATATTTTCTCCTTCGTGTTAATTATAGCGATATTTAACGATACATAATATATATATATATATATATATATATATATATATATATGTATATATGTATATATATATATATATTTTTGTTGTAGTAGTAGTAGTTTCTGTTGTTGTTGTTGTTGTTGTTGTTGTTGTTGTAGTTGTGTAGATATAATAAATTCCACATGTTCTATTTGTAATTTGTATACTTACACGGTGGCATTATCCAGTGTGATCGATTGACTGTTGATTTCGTTCCCGTGATTCGTGTGATGACCATTTAATCCTCCTTCGACGTTACCCTGATTATTATCCAATACTATCTTATTTTCATTAATGCCATTACTGTGCGTGCCATTATGCACGATAGTCGGCGCGGTAACGTTTTCTACGTGATGAGCACGCTGTTCGCTGCTTATAAATTGCTGAGTAGCTTCAGATATTAAACTCGCTGTCATAACGTCTTCGTTTTTACTACCTGGAGCTGATTTATTTTCGTCGCTAGGACTATCTTCTTTTAATTTATCACCATCTCCGCCCTCACCCTGTTATTGAAAGACGTAGAGGGATCAATTTCTTTCTTGCTAGATTGTAAGATCGTAATAAAATATTGTTGTTAATGGAAAAGAGAAAAAAGAAAAAAAGAGAAAAAAGAAAAAAAGGGAAAAAAGAAAAAAAGATAAAAAAGAAAAAAAAAAGAAATGAAAAAAAAAAGAAAAAAAGAAAGAAAAAGAAAGAAAGACCATTCCATTGGTCGTCTCTTTTACCTTCGTCGGTGTATTGGATTGATTTTTTCCACGTGTTCGGAGCATAATCGCCTCAACGCGTTTACGTCTAGCAATTCTCTCTTCTTCCTCTTTTTTCAAACGTTCAGCCATTTCGATTCGTTGTCTGAAATCAAAACGCAAAAAAATAATTTACTTCGCGTTCGTAAAATTGATTGGGAAAATCCAATTTAAGAGATAATGATTAATTTAGAAAATTTATTTCGAAACATATAATACTCGTGTGATTGTGTATATGCGAACGCGATAAAGTCTTATTAAAAATTAAGTCGATTCTAATAAATCTGATCTAAATAATCTAATCGAAAGATTAGACCGTATTGAGATTAGACGAAGAACTTCAGTTTATTTTATCTTTAGAACAAAATTTTCTCTTTTTTTTAATTTTTTTTTTTTTTATTTTCATGTTTCAAAATCAACTTGTCAATATTAATAATAAATATTCCATCGAATTTTGAACCTTTCTACTTCCTCTCGCGCTTTCTTTTCAGCCTCTTCCTTCTCTTGCTTTTGACGAGCCTCTTCCTCTCGTCTTCTTCGATCTTCCTCCTCACGACGTTTTGCCTCCTCGATTGCTAATTTTAATCTTTGTTCCTCAGCCTGCCGTGCTTCGTTCGCCAAACGCAAAGTTTCCTCCTCTAAACGTCGTTGCTCTTCCTCCTCGGCACGTAATTTTTCAGCTTCCAAACGAGCTTCCTCTTCCTAAAATAGACAAAGAAAAAAGACATTAAAAAAAAAAAAAGAAAAAAAAATAAATAATAATAATAATAATAATAATAATAATAATAATTATTATTATTATTATTATTATTATTATTATTATTATTATTATTATTATTATTTATCAAGGACAAGGTCAACGACGCTTTGTATAAATGTTCTATAAGAAAAGTTTTAAAATATATCACACGTACCAATCGTAAACGTTCAATTTCGGCCTCCCTTTCCGCTTGTTCTCGAGCTAATCTTCTGCGTTCCGCCAAGGCTGCTTTGGCCTCCTCTTCTGTAGTAATTCTAATTTTTGCGATCATCGAAGCTAAAATGAGATAGATCAGATAGAGCGAGTTCGAAAATATGATTTATCTTTACTAATTGATAAAAAATATTCGAATGAGTTTTAACGATCGAAGCAAAGGTTTAAAACCTACCAGACATGTCGATCTGTTCTTCGTTATCGACTTCGGTATCTCCTTCCTGTTCCATCGCCAATTTCTTTTCTACCTTTTCTACTTTATTGTTATCGTCTTTCTTCAAGGAAGATTCTTGTGAGGATAACGTTTCTTGCATGAAATTACTATCATCCTTGGCTTGTTTGATAGCGGCTACTGGTACCGGTTGTTCGACTATCGGGCCCTCATTCTTAACTTCATTTTTAATATCATTTTTAAAATCGTTTTTCTCTTCGTTATCAACTAATTCCAAATCTACTACGTCCTGAAATAAATCCATAGAAATAAAATATGATAAGATTAACATGTAAGAAAAAAGAGAGAGAGAGAGAGAGAGAGAGAGAGAGAGAGAGAAAGAGAGAGAGATAGATTATCTTACTCTTTGTAGGAATTAAAACTTCGACATTCAAGAGATTCGTAAAATTTGTTTTTGTATTTTTTCTTTCTTTACCTGTGCTTTCTCTGAACCGTGATCCTTCTTTTCCTCGTTCCTTTCTTCCGATTTACCATTTTTATTATCATTATCATGTCCGATTATTTCAGTGGCTTCGCGTATCAGAGGCGAATGCTCGACACCTGGACTCTGCAAAGGCGTTGCCTTTGGAGTTATTCGTGGCGATGCCTTTGCATTTTTTATTAATTTTTCCGTTGGTTTCTTTATCTCGCTTGCTTTAGGCGTAGAGGGTTTCTTTGGAGTACTATGGACCTTTGGCAGTGGTGGCTTTGAATCCTTTGTTAATTTTGCGTCACCTGAGAAATCTAAGAAAAGAATTACGATATTAATATTTTATTTTATATTTTTTGTTTAAGAACACCTAAGAGAGAAAGAGACAGAGAGAGAGAGAGAGAGAGAGAGAGAGAGAGAAAGAAAGAGAGGGAGATAAAGTATCGTACAGATAACATAGTATTTACATGTGCAATCTGAAAATAATTTTAAAAAATTAAATACGAAGCGAATTTGAACGAAAAACGCATATATGAAAAATAATAAAATTGTAAGAAAAAGAAAAAAAAAAGAACAGGTATAAAAAAGAACAAAAAAAAAAAAAAACAAAATTGAAAGAAAAAGAAAAAAAAGGGGAAAAAAAATAGGGAAAAAAAAAAGTTTAAACGAAACGCTTGACGTGTTATCAGAGTGCGATCGGCGATGGTACATACATACGCACGTATTTGAATTCAATGATTCCCTATTTATTCAGACTATCGAACTTTCAATTTCCATGTGTATGCGTGTGTATGTGTGAATAAGAAAGTTCGCTAAAAGAGAACGCTTTTTATTCTCTGTGTCGTCTCGCTCGCATAGAAATTCTATAAGTAAAAAAGTGTTTCCAATTTCCTCGAAAAAAAAAGGGACAGAGGAAGAGAGAGAGAGAAAAGAAAAGAAGAAAGAAAAGAAAAGAAAAGAAAAAAAAGATACCTTTCCGTGTCTCTTACTGACCTTTCCTTTTTTTGTTATTTATTATTTCGAAAGTAAATTCTAATTTTCTTCTTTCGACAAAGTTCTCGCCATCTTTATTTTTTTTTTTTTTTTTTTTTTTTTTTTATTAGGAACGAGCGAGAAGACTCGATTAATGAAAAAATAAGTAAAAATTTGTGCTCACTGTGTCGCTCTGTGACCGAAACGCCGGTACCGGCGATAGAAGCAGGTCGCGGTCGACGCGGAGCAGCCGTACGAGGACGCAGATTGACGTTACTGCTACCCACGCTGCTGGCACTTTGCTGGCTCATGGAGCTGTGCGGTCGTGATGGGCTGTTCGGCGTCACCTCCCCGCTGCGGATACCTACGCGTACCCACCCAACATCAACATCTCTGACTAACGTATCATTACGCGATAAAGATCTTCGATTTGTGTATAGTGAGAATTAGAAAATTGATCGTATTTTCTTTTATTATTATTATTGTTCTCATTGTTGTTATATAACAATGATAATAATAATAAATATAATAATAATGATAATATATAATATTATTATTATATAATATAATGATATATTATTATTATTATTATTATATTATTGTAATTGTTATTATAATTATTATAATTATATAATAATAATAATTATTATTTTTATTATTTTGAATTCAACAAGGTATTAGACGAAATTAAATAAGTAAAATAAATATTTTTTTCAAAAAAAAAAAAAAAAAAAGAAAAAAAAAAGAAACGTCGAGAATACTTTACTTTGTGAAATTATGTGAATTATTTCGACGAATGATTAAAAGTACGAAGAATTTATATGTAAGACGATTTTGTTTCGTCGCAATTACTTGCATTAAACTTACAAAATTTCACGAGTTTTGAAAGACGTCAAAAAAAAAAATGATAATAATAATAAAACAAAAAAGAAAAAAATAAAAAAATAAAAAGAAAAAAATTCTTTCGAACGTACAATCGGCCAAAAAACTGTAAATTTGTTTATTTAACAAAAAAGTAAATTGTTTGGTTTCGAAAATCAAACGATCATTTTTCTTTGTATAATCGGATATATACATTTATCATCTTATACATAAATCAGTATTTTATACGAGTTTTTATCCTTGCGGTTTTTAACCTTTTATCTCCAAAAAAAAAGGGGAGAAAAAGAGAAAAAAACAGGCCACCATCGATCTTTTTAAATATTTGCTTTTCAATCTGTATTGAAAAATTTTCTTGCTAGAGGTATCGTGAGGAGATAAGTTTTTTTTTTTTTTTTTTAAGATACTATGGCCTGGTTTTTAAAGTACGATGGTTAAAACCACGAACGATCATTTAATAAAAGTAAGTTAAACGATCTGTAAAAAGTTTTTACAAACGAGACGACCGCTTTTGTTTTTATTTCATTATCCTTTTCTTTTTTTTTACACTTTTCTCATTGTATACGTCGACTGTCGCTTATTTTATTTTATTTTATTTATTTATTTTTTTTTTTTTTTCATAAGCACGAGGAATAAAAGATTGAAAATAAGAAACGTTAAAGGAGAAAATTTCAAGTGCCAAGCCCCTTCACCAAAATCTAAGCAGTTGTGTGCTTAGGAGAAGAAGAATTAAAAAATTCAATTGAACTGGCAAAGAAATATAGTCGAAAATAATTTGTGTTACTTACAAACTTTTGTATCGTTGTTTTATTTATATCTTATCATGTTCCTCGATTTTATGTCTGTTAATTTTAAATCGATTATTAGCAAAATAAGCTCTGATATTCGATTACATTTTTTATTATTTTTTTTTTTTCATAATTCATCGCAAAAACAAAGTGAAAGTATAATGATATAAGGGGAAAACAAATTAAATGATTAGAAAAATTAGAAAGCAAATAACGTAAAAGATAATCAAATAAAAAGAATAACGTCGGATATTGCACACTAAATACAAATATATATACACACATATACAAACACACACACACATACACACATATATATATACATATATATATGTATAAGTTAGCGTAAAACTTTCTAAGTAATGACGAACGTGTCAAGGCCCAATAGATATAAAACAACGAATGTTTTAATTTAAATTTATTTTAGTTTCACTTCCAATCATTTTAAATCTATCAGAATTGTTTGGACTCAACAATGTTACAAATTCGTGTGATACTTTAGAATTTTTATTCTAACAATCACGGATGTGATAATACTTTAATGTGGTCGATGACACAACGTCATGAGATATCATGCCACTTGAGAGGGAGTAAACATTTGAAATAAAGGATCTGGCCACGAAGTGGAGGTGTCAGCACTTACCCCAGAACCGTATCAAGTGTTGATCGATTATTTTCTAACACACACACACATACATATATATATATATATATATATATATATATATATATATATATATATAATGGAACATTCTAAGATAGAAATAGATAGAAAGAAGAGACAGAGCTTAGATAGATTTAGTATTTGAAATATAAAAGATGTTTTTAGCTTACCAAATGTGAATTAGAGCATACCTTCACCACGTTGATATTGAAAAAGCTGACGAGAGAACTTTGGTGCCTTGATAGGAGCGCTATGTCAATCAATATTCGAACAAATGGTGCACAAGCATTGTGTTATTGCGTGCTTCTTATTATTATTTCTTTTTTTTTTTTGCATTAACTAGATCCATTTAATAAATGACAGAAAAGTAGTAAGTTTATGTAGCAATTAAATAAAGACGTCTATTAGAGCATGTCAAAGTTAAGATCATTAGATAAATAGATAGATAGATAAAGAGAAAAAGAGAAAGAGAAAGGGGAGAGAGAGAAAGAGAGAGAGCAAGAAACAGCATAATAGAGGAGAATGCAGGGCAATCGTTCGATCATTGTTCATTGATTTACAACGGCTCCATATTTCATACATGCAAGCGCGCACTCAACTCCCGATCATGAAATTTTCTATAAAGAGAAGGGAGTGGGGTGGAGAAAGGAAGAAGGAAATAAAAAAAGGGAGATAAAACAAAAAAAAAAGATAAAAGAAAAGAGGGGGAGAGAGAGGGAGAGAGAAGGGGAAAGAGAGAGAAAAAAGAGATGTCTTTTCGCGTAAAAAATGTCGTCGATATAATTGTAATTAATAAATTATTAAATCGACAATAGAATTCGGGAGTTGAGTGCACGTGGACGTGATTACCTTGCTGCTGTTGACTGTGAAGCTCACGAGCCTTTCGACGCAATCTTTCAGCCCTGGTAGGTCTCGGCATCGGAACTGCACCCGGCAATGTACCCATGCTACGAGAATTATCCGAGCGCTTAAGGCTCTTGCTTCCTGAGGCAGCAGCCAAATGCGACATGCTGCGACTCATGCTAGAACCACTGAGAGGCTGACTTTGCTGTTCCGTCAATGTACTAAGCTCTGTCGGACGTTTCCTAGGCTGAGATAGCTGGTCCAGTCTCGACATCGAGTAAGTCCTACCTGGAGAACGTGCGAAGGCCTTGGCCGATGAGCTACGTCCGGACGTCGGTGGTCCATCACGGGGGGACGGTATCGTCGGCATCAGGTCTGTACGTCTCCTATTCACTCGAAGATAAACCGAACTGGGTGTTCCTGGGGTTCCGTCGCTATCCTCACCTGAAAATACGACGATGAGTAATTTAATATCTAATTAAGATTTCAAATCCGGCAATCGCCGCGCATCGCCCTTCGGGAATAAGTAAAATCCGAGGAGGAGAGAGAGAAAGAGAGAAAGAGAGAGAGAGAGAGAGAGAGAGAGAGAGAGAGAGAGAGAGAGAGAGAGAGAGAGAGAGAGAGAGAGAGAGAGAGAGAGAGAGAGGATTATCGATTGATTCCTTCTCTTCAAGGTCTGTTGTAACGACGACAACACACCCTGAATACGACGATACACACGCACACACATACACACATTCTTATTTTTTAAATTCATTCCTTTCTTTCTTTTCCTTCTCTTTTTTTTCCTTTTTTCTTCTTCTTTTTCGTGTTTTTGTTCTTTTCTTTTTTTTTTTGTCATTCCTTCGTCCGTGCGATATACGAAGGTGAATTGACAAAACAAAAAAGAGAAAAAAAAAAGGAAAAAAAATATTTACAAAGGAATACAAAAAAAAAAGGGAAAAAGAAGAAAGAAAAAATTATACAGAAACACGACACAGTGCTTCTTGCACTCACACAGATATACAACTTCTTATCATGCCACGATTCTTCGGCCTTTTTCTCTCTCCAACGCTCGCGCGATATCCTTCTCGCGACAGGCAATATAAGCGACTACTACGTGTTGTCTTCACACACGTACAAAAGAAAGTCTCCGTCGTCGTCGTCGTCGTTGTCGTTGTCGATGTAGTCGTCGCCACATAGTCATCGTTGTCGTAGTCATCGTCGTCGTCGTCGTCGTCGTCGTCGTCGTCGTCGTCGTCGTCGTCGGCTAGCGCGCGGCGTACATCCCACACATTAATCGATACTTCGCTAGCGCGACTCTCCGTCCAAGCGATTTTATTATTCTAACGTCAGCCGTTGTCCGTGGTGCAATCGAAAGCCATGCGTGCAAGGCAAAGAGAGGAAAGCAGCAAGCAATACCAAAGCGAACGATCAATCCCACCGACGACGGAATTTGCTATACCACGAACGTGGTTAGCAACATGGAGACAATTTCTAAACGAATATAATATCTGATCTAACTATTTAACTCATAGTGATAAATCAACAGTTTCCTAAAAATAAAAATATATTGAAATCGTCGTCGTCGTCGTCGTTGTTGTTGTTGTTGTTGTTGTTGTTGTTGCTGCTGTTATTGTTGTTGTGATGATTTAATGTGCAAATGAAATATAAGGAGAACAGATGATCGAAATATTTAATTTGACTACACCTCTCATTTTCTTCGGGCTTATATATTTTCTACTCAACGCCTACTTACATCTTCTTCATCGAACAGTATCACTATCGTTTGTAAGTATTCGATGGTTTTGTATGTGTGTATATGTAAAATTCTATGATACTACATTGATTAAAAAGAGTATGCTTTCTCATTCCATGTATAAATAATAGGGAAAAAGAAATAAATAAATAAGAAATAAAAAATAAATAAATAAAACACAATAGCGTATGCATTGTATGCATGTATGCGCCTATGTTATCTCTGTGTGTGTGCGAGCGTGTGTTTCTGTGTAATGTTTGCAGGTAATAATAAAACGAACATGCTGGAAGTGTACGTACGTATTTGTACGAACAATAACTGCGGGAGACAATTGAACGAGCGAGTGTTAATAGGTGAACAGACAATGACCGACAAATCAATTAGCGACACAACAGAAAGAGATAGAAATAAAGATAGATAGATAGTTAAATAAAGAGATAGAGAGCGTGAAAGAAAGAGAAAGAGAGTATTCCCGTGTCGCAGACTTCCGGCTTCGGGACTCACCACTGACAGCCCGCTGAATCATCGGACGCCTAGTATCGCTATCAGACTTATCATCGATGGCAAAGATGTCTGTAGTAGGAGGCAGAGAGAGGCTGGCTCTCTTATGTTTGCCAGGGGTTAAGGGAGGATCGGGGCTAGAATTCCAATTGAACACCTCGTACATGGACGAGGACATTCTCATATCTGCAAACAAACCATCCAACTCTGGAACATTAGCTTTACTTCGAACGACTCTCACGAAGAATGCTAATAGTAGTAGTAGTAGTAGTAGTAGTAATAGTGGTAGTAGTAGTAGTAGTAGTAGGTAGTAATAGTAGTAGTAGTAGTAGTAGTAGTAGTAGTAGTAGTAGTAGTAGCAGTAGTAGAGTGGTAATAGAATAGTATTAGAGTAGTAATAGTAGTGTAACAGTAATAGCAGTATAGCAATAGTTGTAATAGTAGTAGCGAGAAAAATAAAATATTTACTTATAGTGACATTTGTTGATAACATAACATAGCTCGGATTAGATATACAGTGCGATTTTTAAACGTTATACATATATCTATCTATATATTGAATTTGTTATATATAGAAATGATGTATTACGTTTAATACGTCGGTCAGATCGTAAGAACCATCACCAATGAAGACGATAAGTGTACAGATACGGCAGTTAGCAAAGGAGATAGATTGCTAAAGCTTTTGCTATCATAAATTATACTCTTTCTGTCCGTTAAAGTCCCGTCGACGGTTATCCGTTAACATAAATCTCTTTAAAATGCTAGTACGTCCCTGGGCTGTGAAAACGTTCATGGAACAATTACTAAGTCAGACCCGTCCCGCGTACGATGCTTATATATATATATATATATATATATATATATATATATATATATATATATATATATATATATATGTATGTACGTCTAAACTTTGACCTAGGAATCTCTTAGTTTAGGCGTGTATAACAAACAAATTTTGGAGGAAACTAAACGTTATAAAGTGGTTATTTTAACTAACTTAGTCAAACTATAAGAGCTCTTTTAAATTTGCAAATAAAAAATACATAATATTTTACATTATACATATTATAATAACATTTACGTTAATTCGTTTATTGCAATATCATCTTCTTCTCGTGAATTCATGGATTTATTTTGTTTCTATTTTTTCTTTTTCTCTGTTTTTTTTTCTTTTTTTTTTTTCTAAATAATATAACGCAAAACAACGGAAAGGAGAGAATTTAGCTGATATAACGAATATAATACGTCCGAGTTGTGCGAAAGAAAAAGTGCAATTGCACTTGCTCGCAGGTGCATCGTTGTATTTGCAGGAAAAATAAAGATCGTAACAAGTTAGTTCTCTCTCGGTAAACTGTGCACAATACTTTTTTTTCTTCTTCCTACCTTCCTTCCTTCCTTCCTTCCTTCCTTCCTTCTATTTTTGCTTAGAAAAGTATTATAGTCTGGCCCAGTTATTTGAATCGCCGAGCGCTTCTTTATAACGAAAAAAAAAAAAAAAAAAAAAAAAAAAAAAAAAAAAAAAAAAAAAAAAAAATCTGAAGATATCTACTTTAAATTCATACCAACGATTTTTTCACTATATCCGTGATTATCTATTATACGTAAAAAACAAAAAAGACTAATTATGAAAATACGTATACGTACAACCTGAAAATGAGTATCGTAAAAACGTCTACAATTATATATGTATGTATGTATGTATGTATATATATATCCATATTACATGTATTATATATATATATATATATATATATATATATATATATATATATATATCGTGAATATGTAAGTAGGATACCGAGATATCTAATATCATATTTTTCTTCATGCTTCATCCTATTATTTTCTAATCTTTAACCTCGGTGTTCGATGAATACGATACTTGTACGAAGGAAAGGAACGCGAATGGTATCTTTGAAACAACGCGGAACTAATCGTTCTTTTATCGAGGGTTCACGCGAACGAACACGGTATTCATCGTACAAGAGGTAACTTCTCTCTATGAATTACCTCTTGTACTATATATCTATATATATTCATACATTTACATGAAACTAAATCGTGATCGTGAGAAACTATCTTCAAAACTTTCAACTTAAAACTAATCGTTAAATATAACCTTCTTTATATTATCTCTTTTCTTCTAACTTTCTAATTATGATTACAACGTAAGTAAAAGGGGGAAAAAAAGAAAAAATTTTGGAAAAATTAAAAAATCAGTATACATGTACAATATTGTTTTCAATCCGCTAATACAATAATGTAAGTTTATTCATAAAAAAAAAAATATTCTAATCTTTCATATAAATGATATAAAAGAAAGAAAGAAAGAAAAAAAAAACAAGAATACTCTAATCTAAACGTTCAATGCGATTAAAAGCGATCGATAAGATGATCGAATTCATCCAACGGATTCTTACATTTATGATTGATAGTGATATCGTTCGTTGTCGATTAAATTATCAAAAATTTTTCTAATAATGTCTGTATATATTTAAAATATCATTGAAAAAATATGACAAGATTAATGAATCGTGATATATATGATAATATTCGAATGAATCGTTGTTATAACTTGGTGTCATATAAAATAGTTTGGTGCGTGTAAATACATGCGTAACGCGATGCAGGATCGTATGTGGAATTTCTAATAGAAATAAAAGGAAACGATAGAAAGTTCTACAAAGCGAACGACGACGAGTAATTGAAGCAACGACAAACTAAGCGACATTTGTGGTTTTTCGAAAGATCCAGCGACCGATAACGATAGCAAAATTTTTAATGAAACTTACAGACACACGCAAAAAAAAAAAAAAAAGAAGAAAAAAAAAAGAAAAAAAAAGAAAAAAAGAAAAAAGAATTGACAATTTTGTTCATAGAAATAAGTCGCTGGATCTATCAGATTAAAGACGATTCGAGTAACACTTGTCTAGAACTAAGAGCACAGAGACAACATTCTTGCAATAAAACATTAAATAGCTCGTATGTGTGTATGTATGTATGTATGTATATATATATATATATATATATATATATATATATATATATATAATAGTAATTATTTCACTATCAAAACTAAATGCTTCGATCCGAGAGAGATTTCTTGTTTATCTTCACGCTTATATTCCGCGAATGCGTCGCCAATGCTACGGGTACAACGAACTTCTCTTCTAATCAAATCACTTTGACTTTCTATCTTTCTAAATGATATCACAAACGATCTAGTACGCTTTTACTCGCTTTCTCGTAAGAACGATATAAGTAAACAGACAAAAAAAAGAAAAAAAAAAAAAGAAAAAAAAAAAGAAAAAAAAAGAAAAAACACACAACATCGCGCGACGTATACAATAAGAAATTATTCATCTGAGATAATACATGGGATTATCCTTAAAATTTTATTACGACGTTTTCAAAGGGCAACGACGATTCCTTTTAAACAATAATAATAAATCGAAATTATGAAATAAGTTTAACTTAATTTGTATATTTTGATCGTAGGACGATATTGAGGACAATCTGTATATTGTCGAGCACAATATCGATTTTTTTATTCGTAAACAACGTAGAAAAACGTATACAAAGAAGATTGATTTTCATATAATATATGTGTAAATATATATTTATGTGTATATATATATTTATATACATATATATATATTTATATGTATATATATATAAATATAAATATATATATATATATATATAAAATAAATGCGTGCGCAAAAAATAGTGGCTTACCTTCGCCGGGCTTTCTGTCGAGTCCACCGGCGGAAGTAGCTCTTTTCTTGCTGCCATCGAGTTCCCTCTCGGAGGATCTCCTGGTCAAAGGCTGAGCCGCTGAAAACATCATGACGTTGGTCGTCGAAGTGGCTCTGCGTGTACCCCAGAAAGTCGAACCACCGGTATCGGCTGGCTCCAACATTCGCGGTGTCGAACTGCCGAACGCAAAAACGATGTGCGATCTTTCATTCTTCTTTTTTGCCTCGATGCGTGCCTCCCTCTCCTGATTTTTTCGGAGGATAGCCTCCCGCCTTTCTCGCTCTGCCTCGCATATCAAACGTTTCCTTTCTTCTACCTGGTTCCTTCTAAAATTACATACGTTGAGAATAAATAAGATAAAGAAATAAATAAAGAAAAAGTAAGAAAAAAAGAAACAAATAAATATAACGTATAGTAATCAAAATAAAGAAATAATAATGAATAATAATAAACCGAGGAAAATTATGTATATATATATATATACATATATATATATTTAATAATTAATAACAATAGAATGTGATTATAACAAATAGAAAGTAATAATAATAGAATTTATTATCTACGAATAATCTCGTTTCTTTTTTATCGCGTTTGCCTTTATGGATTTTATTTTTATTTTTCCTTATCTTTTATTTATATTTCTTTTTATTCTTTTTATTATTTATTTTTTTTATTTTTTTTAATTTTTTAATCCTTTAAGTGCTGAATACTCTCGACGCAAACAATCCGCATGTACTGTGCGCGCTTAGAATTTCGATTGCTGGGAACTCTTTTTTTTTTTTCTTAATAATAACTTTATCGATTGAATACATAGAACGCAACTACTTAAACGATACAAGAATTAATTAATTATTTTGTTCAAAGCATTAAAATGTTATTCATATCTTAACTTGAAATTATCTCAAATAATGCATATATGGATCCTTTCGCTAAATGCATAAATGGATCCATAGCATTCAAAGGTAATTAAATCAATGACACGTACTTTATCGTCAACAGTAAAATTTTCTTTTGTAAAATCAACAAAACGAAGATCGACATCGTTTGTTAATTAGCATATGACAATTTAATTATCATATGACGAAATTTTTCTTTCTTTTCTTCTATACGATCGTCCTATTTCCTCTCCTCCTTCGTATTTTTCTTTTCTTTTCTCTTCTTTTCTTTTCTTTTCTTTTCTTTTCTTTCATTCATTCATTCAATTTTTTTTTTGAATATTTATATTCCCTGATATATGTACATATATATCTTAAATTTTATATAAGCACGACGGAATTTGCGGTAATTTACTAGGCTTCTCTACGACGGTAAAACAGTTTAGAATGATGTCACGCTAACGAGGTCAAACTTATAACCACGTTGATCTTATAATCTCATAATTATGATCTATCTCGTTAAAACACGCTGAGTTATACTGATTTTGCATAGGTCTAACTAAGGTGACACTATTATTTATGCGATATTCGCGACGTGCGCGCAATTTTCTAATTTACATCACGAGAACCTATCGATACATCGATACACTTCGGTCGCATATTTTTATGTTAAGCATATCTTATGTTTCTTGCTCTCTCTTTTTTTTTTTTTTTTTTTTTTTTTTTTTTCAGAAATACATATGAACAAGTAAAGAAAGTTATAATCGATTTGTATGACGAAAATATAAAAAAAATTTAATCCAAGTGATATAATAGATTACTATCGATAAATCTAACAAAAAAAAAAAAAAAAAAAAAAAAAAGGAAAAAAAAAGTGGAATGATCGTGAATCTTTATCAAATTAATTTTTTTAAAAGGATATTAAAGAAAACAAATTTTATTTTTGTTTAAAAATCTAAGTTCACTTTTTCAAAATATTTATTTATTTTTTAAATTAATTATTTATTTATTTATTTACTTTTTAAGAAATCTTCACACTTGATGAATATTATCGATTTGTTTATATTAGTGAAAATATAAAAATCGAACTCATGTGATTATTATTATTATTATTATTATTATTATTATTATTATTATTATTATTATTATTATTATTATTATTATTATTATTATTATTATATTATTAGATCTTGGATCGATAGATTTGAACGCGAAACGAAATGATAGTAACTGGATTTTATTTTTCTTTTTTCTCAAACAATTATTTCCTTTAATTTCACGCTGTACCAGAGAGATGAGTGATTAAGACGATATAATAAGTAATTAAGAAACGTACGTGCATCTTTCGAAGAATTGAATTCAGTTTCCTTACCCGGATAGAATAACCAGATAAGGAATAATGATTAAAAAAGAGAAACTTTAGAGACGAACCTGTCATTGTCTCGTGACCTCAGCTCGTCGATGCGTCTTCGACGTTCTTCCTCTCGCTGCTCCCGGAAACGTTGGGCGGCAAGTGCATGTTGTCTCAGCTCTTCCAGCTTCCGTTGTCGCTCTTCGTTCTGCCTTTCACGGACGAGCCTAGCCCTATCAACATCTTTCGCACTTCCTGTTGAGTCTCGTGCTGTTAACAATTTTTTTTTGAAATTATCAATACGTTCCTTCTTTCCTTCCTTCCTTCCTTCCTTTTCTTTTCTTTTCCTTTTTTACTTTCGCCATAGAGAAGACAAACATATATACGCACATACATACATATATACCTACATCTATATATATAAATATATATATATATTTACTTATTTATTCGTTTATTCAATCACTCGCAATACATACGTGTGTTATGCGACAGACATTGAAATCGTAAAAAGAACTTTCATTATCTTTTTCGACGATTAATTCAATTAACGATTTTGATGATTACTTTACAAAAATTATTTAAAAAATAAAACATTTGAATTATTTAATTTTTCTATTTCTTTTTTTGAGAAACATTTTGTCAGTTAAATATTTCGCGTATTAGTGGACTAACCACTGTCCGCTAATTTGATCCATCTGTCATGCACATCACTGTAAATATACATATATATATATATATATATATATATATATACATACATATATATATATACACATATATATATATTCTCTCGACCGTAAATAAACGATGAAAATTAGTCAGCACCGCGAGAACCGTACTAATAATTCGTTTCCTCCTCCACCCTCTCCCCTTTAACACAACCCTTTCGTATATTCTCATAGTTAACTACATAGAGACAGAGAGAACGATGCAGAGAGAGAAAGAGAGAGACAGACAGAGAAAGAGAGAGAGAGAGAGAGAAAGGAGATAGAACAAAAAAATAAAAGAGAAATTTAAAAACGAACATACATCGTGATTGATAGTGCAATGACAAAAGCACGAGCACTCGTTAAGAATCGAAGGAATTATGATCGATGCAATTAAATGAAAAAGAAATACTATAAGCTTCTTTTTCGAACGATATAAATTAAAAAAAAGAAAAAAAAAAAGAGAGAGAAAGACAGAGATAAAGAGACATAAAACAAAGACGAAAAAAAAAAAAGATAAAAATAGCAGAGGAAGAAAAAAAGACATATAACGAGAAAGAGAGAGAAAGAGAGAGGGAGAAGGGGAGAAAGAGGAAGAGAAAAAAGAAAAGAAAAGAAAAGAGAAATAGATTTATTATTTGAAATTATAGCGGAAAATAAAAAGAAACGGGAAAACATGAGGCATTGAACGCAGAGAGCCCTTGAAAACGTGATACCTTCGTTCTCGTCAGGACGATCGTCGTCGAGGGAGTCCTCATCGTAGAGACTTCGGCGGCGCTTCACATCTGCCGAGAAGAAAGCGAGAAATATGTGCGAGCACACATGTGAGATATTCGTACATATTATGACCAGACGTTGTTGAAATTTATTTTGTTCTTGTTATTAGTTTCATTAAAACATTTTATTCTTTTCTTTAATGTCGTCGTCGTAATTGTTTATATTGTTTATATTGTTGTCGTTGATGTTTTTGCTTTTCTAAATTTTTTTTTTTTTTTTTTTTTTTTTTTTTTCTAAGGAAAATTAAAGCATGCATGCTCACAACAGACGTGTCGTCGTTCATATAAATGCAATAAGCACAAACGTGTTTCACATGGATCTTTTTCTTTTTATGTGTATGTGTACGCGCGTGTTCTTGTTTTCTTGATTTTTTTTTTTTTTTTTTTTTTTTTTTTTTTTTTTTTTTTTTTTTTTTTTTTTTTTTTTCTTTAACTCCGAAAACAATTCGAAAATTTTCAATATTCCTTTTCATCTTTTTATTAATCGTCTCTCTTTTTTTTTCTATATTATTTTCCGTGAATATTGAATTCCACGTGAAATATAACAATATAACGTTCCGTTACGAGATGGAAAATATAATATTATACATATTTGAAAGGTTTTGTCAATCGGTCTTTTTTTTTTTCTTTTTCTTTTTTTTTTTTTTTTTTTTTTTTTTTAATTCAACGAGCGAATCATTTTCTTCTTCTATCATTATCATTCTAAAATTAAATTAACGTCAAATAAAAAAAAAAATAAAGAAGAAAACAAAAAGAAAAGAAAAAAAAGAAAAAAAAAAGAAAAAAAAAGAAAAAAGAAAAAATTTCCATAAGTCGATCGAACCCTTTCATTTCGTGATTAACCCTCGCTTTTAATCGTTCGTCCGTTCAATATACAAATCGTCCTCGATTGAATTAAATTCAGTTCTAAGGTACGACGTGGTGCACACATCTCTCCTCGGTCATTTCGATCAACACGAGCGCGTATTCGAAATTGGTACCTCGTTGTTAGATCCGTATGTAACAACGAGATTGATATTGAGTTTACATGTAAAATCAATCAAAAGGTTAGCTTCAATTTGTTAAGCACACACTCACACAACACGACAGCAAATCGCATTATTGTTATTGTTGTTGTTGTTATGATTATTATTATTAATTATTTATTTATGTATTTTATTATTATTATTATTATTATTATTATTATTATTATTATTATTATTATTATTATCGAAGAAATACGGATATTCTGTTCAAACTTGTTCGCGGTTAGAAGAAAAGTAAATGTATACGATAATAATCAGGCTTATTCTCGACATAATGCATTATAGAAGGAGAGATTATTTCAAATTCAAACGTGTTTATTGTTAATCTCGCTTACGAAATTACGCGTGGTAATGAAATATCGTGCACATGTTTAAATTTTCTCGATATCGGCCGAACGCACACACAATCTGATATGTATTTACCGTTCCGATGATTATCTGGAAAATCATGAGTACCACCGTCACCTCCTATCTGGGCGAACCAATGCATTGTTTCTTCTGCAGAATAGAAATTTATTCATCACGAGATTATCCAACATTCTTATTTACTTCCATGTATTCCTCACGTAAGAAATAATTTTATTTTCTTTAACGTACAATCGTTTTCGAAATATATTAAATCGAACTACTTTTGCGATATCTCAATATAAAAAAGAAAAATCTATACTCAATATAATCTTTAACCATGACCTCGTAACAATATATCTCCTTTAAACTGATAGTAGATTAATGATAGATTATATCGAATTAAATCGAACAAAATTTACGAACGATTGGTAAAAAAAAAAAATAAAAAAAAAAATAAAAAAAATAAAAAAAAAAAAAAAACAGTAAAGTCGATCGTTTCCTATCGTATTTCGTTCGAATTAATTCACGTTTTTTTTTACTCCGTGGCGTTTTTGTCATGTTCAATCTTTAAATCGTTATTTTCTCGGATGTTTCTCGTTATATATACTCTTTCGCCGAGTAATGGTACTTGGTAGACTTGGTCTTGGTATTATCATTCACGACGATAGTAGTCGGTGTTTTCTTTGTCACTACGGTTCAAATTATCGTTTTGCTCGCGAGAACGGTGGAAAAAAAAAAAGAAGAAAAAAAAAAAGAAAAGAAAAGAAAATAAAAAAAGAAAGAAAGAAAGGAAGAAAGAAAGAAAAAAAAGCCGAGGGCTCTCGAGGGGCTACGACGAAGAAAAAGATAGAGAAAGAGAGTAATACACGTGTAGGCTCCCGTTAATCTTCGTCGCCTGAAAGTGGGTCGAAAAACAATGAGAGTCCAGTCTTTTCATCTGTTTTCGCAGGTTGCACGCTCAAAATAGAATTTTAATGAGAAGGAAACTCAATGGTCATTGTCGATTGCGCGACAGCTTCGAACAACAATGGCCATTACTTTTCTTTCCTTGAGAGTTAAGTTTATACACCCTCTTCGAGATAACGCGTACAATACTTTTATCTTCTTACGAACAACCATAAGAAAATCTCTTTCCTTTGATCTCTCGACATTGAAAAGTTGTAAATTTTTCAATAAATTTTCTATACCTTTTATTTTACACTTTTCTTTATTTATTTATTTATTTATTTTTTTTTTTTTAATAAAACATCAAAAGAACTCTAAATCTTTATTATATACGGTGTATGTTATAACGCTATTGACAAAACGGATTAGAATTAAAAGTAGAATTATTTTTAGAATTTATTTTTCTCGAGCGTGAAACCACTGAAGCAGGTAATGGACATACTGATCTGTGGGAAATTAACTCGAGACTTTAACGAATAGAGAAAGAGATAGATAGAGATAGAGAAAGAGAAGAAAAAGAACATGTTTGAGAGTGTTCGCGCGAGAAATTTTCCGCAAACTTTACCGATCTTTCGTAATTTCTACCTTTTCGTTCTTCCCTTTCGAAGTGCCAAGGAAAACAATGAAGACAAGAGAGAAGACGGCGAGAAACTTTTACTTAGTTCTTCTTCTCCACCTTTTATTTTTCCCTTCGTTTACGGATCGTTCGTATTTCTACCGGGACAATAATGTTCGCATGGGATTCAGCAGCTTTGTTCGTTCGAAGAGCACTGTTACGCAAAGAGGATGTCATACAGGCCATTTTGCGATTTGATATAACGAAGAAACGTGAGAGATCCAATTGGCGATCCTTTCTGGAGAAATTCTTAGAGCATTTTTTTTTTTTTTTTTTTTTTTTTTTTTTTTTTTTTTTTGTTAAGAGTTAGCAAATGGGCGAAAAGGATATGTGTTTCTTTGACCTTTTCCTCATCCTCATATTTACTTCGTTTGAAATTTCCTCTCTTTTCTTCTTCTTCCCCCCCTTCCCCTTGATATATATCCATTTATCCTTCTTTTGTGATACAGACATTTTTCAAGAGAACGTAGGATCGAATTGAAATTGCTTTGAATAAAGGGAAACGATATATATATATATATTATTATTATTATTATTATTATTATTATATGCGGATAAAATTGACAGGCAAATAGGTACAAATAGATTAGCAAAAATATTTTATAAATTATGTGACGACGACGTTTGTGCTCGTGCATGAAACATGAGTGCCGATTGCGAAAGAAAACAAAAATAAATAAATAAATAAATAAATAAAATTAGAGAACGGACAGCTAATAATCAAATCGTAGAAAGAAATCGGAGCGAACAAAAAAAAAAAAAAAAAAAAAAAAAGAAAATAATTCTAATGATAGAAGCCGTGATGGATGAGGAGTGTATATATCAACGAAGAGAAAGAGAGAACGAATATAATAAATATAAGTGAACGTTAAATGTTTTCAAGCGTCATTTTTAATGCTGGCTGATGCCTGGTTGACTGGCAGGCAAGCTGGCTTGTTTGTTTGTTTGTTTGTTTGTTTGTTTGTTTATTTGTTTGTTTGCTTACCCTTCGTGAGAGAGTGGCGATTGTGTGCAGAACTGGTCCTTTGGTTAATTTCCTCAGAAGCGGCTCCAG